CATTTTTGGAGCACCTGAGGATAGTGAAGCCTGTGAACACCATGGTGTTAGTGGATATTTGGGGTAATTCAGGACCTCTGGAACTGGCACTTAGGGAGGCTGTGAGCAGCATGTGGGGACAGACTGGACAGCTCCAGGCTGTGTCTGACAGGGCAAGGGATGGTGTACACCTTCAGCTCTTCTGTTTGTGGTCGTAACCCAGTCCACCCTGGCAGCTGATCTAAAGCATTGCAACGAGGGAAGACGTGGGGTTGATGTTTGCTGCCAGCAGATTTCCTGTTTTGCTCAGCAAGGCTTCCTTACTAGAGGAGAAGAGAGAAGGTGACAGTGTTCGAGGGAAACAGGGCTGTCACCAGCAGACCAGGGCTCATTCTGGGCTGCAGAGAGATGGCAAGGAAATGTCATCTTTTGTCTCAAGTGTTTGGTGGCTGTTTAAGGCCAAAAACAGATGGGTCCTTCATGAGGACACTTCAGGTATAGAATTTGCCTGTTTCACACAACACTGGCTGTGACAGCCGTAATTTAATTGGGGATGCTTAAACCGGTGTCATCTTGTCCTTAAATAAGAGGAACACTGTCTGCTTTCATTGCTGTCTGACCATTTGTCTTTTCAGAGGGCAGAAGCTGGGATCAGCAGAAGCCTTAAGGATATTTTCAATTCTGTTGGAAACGAGTCTAAAGGATAAGAAACACTCCTGGTGTTATTTGTAGTAGGAAAAACATATGTGCCATGGTTGTAGGAAAAGGGACATAGGATGTTTGCTTTCCCTCAGTGCTTTCACTGCATCTCAGGTGTGTCCTCAGATGCTGAAACCCTACAGCATGCATAGAGCAGATTGGTTGGGGCAGTGTCAGCCCTTGCAGGTCTGCTGGAAATCAAGGGGATGAGTGTTTCTTCTGTAAATTCAATGTTCCTTTAAACCCACCTTCGTCTGAGTAAAAAACAACTTCCCACAGGTATAACTTTTCCCATTTAGTTTTCCAGGAACACCCAAACTGAGAGCAGACGTCCCTTGCCTGGCGGGGAGAGAGAGAGAGAGATTAACTCCACCGCCCAGCCTCCCCAGTAAAAACAGGAAAAGAATTAGAGGGTTCTGTATTCCTGACCCTGGATCACTTGCCACAACAGACAGGAAAGTTGCCCTGGTGGTATTTCACACAGCACATCCTAATTCCCCCTCTAAGCAGAGGGCTTGAGTCATTGCTTTTTAATAAGGCTGCCTCCCCACAGGCGGAAGCTGCAGCGATCAATGAGGCTTACGCTTACTCAGTTCTAGAGAAGGTCATTAAAAGACCATAGATATACATTTGAAGTGTGTTTGTTCACATCCTTGATGTTAAAGATGTTTTCTTCTCTCTCACTTCCTTAAGTTGCATCTCACACAGCCACTGTGTGCTGGGTCCTGCCCGTCAGGGGAGTGGAAAGTGTCCCTTGTTGCTGTCACTGTGCCACCAGCTCCCAGGGCAGGTGGGAGAGGAAATAAATGGTCAAAAAATCACACTTTTATCACCACTTGGAGCACAGCTTGTCTTGCTGGCATCTCTAGATACAGTCTGAACTATCAACCTTGGTGTCCTGTAGCTATAGAGAGGGAATAAACCCTTCCTCTCCCTGTTCTTGCATTCCTCCCTCCCTCACTATGGGACTGGATTACTGCCTGGGGTATTGCACATATCATCCCTTTAGCAGCTATATTTCTCCAAAATGTGGGCACTGTGAAGGAATGCTGAAACTCCCCAATGCTGCCAATATGACACATTTAGCAGTTCAGGAGGATATAAGTATCTCACGTTCCAGTTGTTGAATCGTGAAATGCCACATGCATCTCAGTCAGCTTTTTGTCACACCTTGTGTCAGGCCAGGATTAGCTGAAAGCATGATGGCTTCAGTTTTGAGTTTCTGAGGTGTTTTTTTGATGTTCCAGTCCAGCCACATCTCCAGCTCTGCCTGTGTGGTGCTGAAGAGCCCCTCTGGAGCAGACATTTCTGAGCTCCTCTGGGCACAGCTGGTTTGTTGGTGCTGCCCTGGGTGCCACACCCTCGGTGTTACCCAGGGCAGGGAAAACTGTGAAGCTTCAGGTTGCTCAGAAGGGGATTTGGGATGTGGATGAGGAGGATGGGCTCCTCTGGGGACCTGCCATTGCTCTACAGGGACCACATGTCTCCAGGCATTTGTCTTCTCTTTCTTTGTATTTTAAGGATATTGGGGTGTCATGAGCATAAATGACTTAATAGCTCTTATTTTCTACCCAAACTGCAGAGGAGTAAGGGGAACCAGACTGTGCAAACAATGTGTAAGAGATTTTGTTCACCTTCTTTGTGGAGAATAAATGGGTTAGGTTTGGTTAGGGTTTTTTTTTTTTTTTTAATTTGAAGGGTCATTTGCCTGTCACAACACAAAGTTCCAAGAGCATTCCATCTTTGAGCAGGTTGCAGTTGGATATCTCCCCTCCCTGATGTGCAGCAGGTGACAGGGTTAGAGCACAGCCCAGTGCCCCAAAGCCAGCAGCCAGTGTACTCCATACAAACTTTTCCATGGTTAATCCATACAATTAAATAGGCCAGAGTTCTCCCCACCTAATAACTTTCATTTCCAATTTTCTGTCTCATTCACCCATGTACACATTCATCTCCAGCAACCTCATAATTCATAACCACCACATTCTCTCTTGTGCTTGATTTGATTCCAGGTTTTCCTCCACTGTATTCTGCAAACTTCTGAACAGGTGTGAGCTTTTCCTGTTGTCCCTTTGCTTACATGTGCACACAAATACTTCCCTCCAGTAAAACCCATGTGCAAAGCACACTCACTGCTCTTGGCCTGCCTCATCACCTAGAGGTATTGGTGGAAATCACACCAAAAATCAGATTCTGCAAACTCCTATTTTACTCTCAGGACCACAATCTCAGTGCATCAGAAAGCAGCATGGCCTTATTTATTTTGCAGCTGCCCCAACTGTTCATTTGTTACCATTTTCAAAAATTGATTTTTTTTTTTTTTTTGTGGTTAGCTGATCCCCAGTGACAAAATCCACATTTCTGCCAGTGTCCTTGTTAATCTTACATATTTTACAAATGGTTTTGAGACAGAAATTGAGAAATAACTGCTCTTTAATAATCAAAGCTTGGCTCTGCTTTGATTTCATCAGTATATATGAAAACCTCCCATCTTAGTAAGTGGATTTATCTGGGAGTGAAATCTAGAGGAAAACCCTCATTATTTTACTACAGTGTGTGTTTAGCCACTTTACTCACTTCCTATAATTTTTTTCTCCCCCAGAAAAACAGTTGCTTTAAACAAGCCCCAAGGGACAGAAGTTTGAAACCTTTCACTTTGATTGAATAAACAGTCTTACCAATATCTGGGTAGACATCTCCCCAGCCTGTAGGTGAATGAAGACACTGTTTGTGCTACATAAACTCTCAGATTTAGCTAATAGGAGCCACGGGCTGTTGCTGACAGGAATCAGGTGCAGAAGGAATGAGAAAGCCAGTTCTGTTTTCCTTCCACCAAGTTGCACTCCCATTCCATTGCCATGTGCAGTAACAAAGAGTCAGATCCCAGTGCTCTTGGTGTGCAATTCATTCAATGCCAGTTGTTTTTTTTTTTTTTTGCAGGCACAGTACCCATGAGAAACAGCTTTGTTGTAAAATATAATGTGGGATATTGGAGTTTAAGTCATGCTTGTTAATTTAATGAATGTTGTAAGGAGATACTTATTTCATGAATCTGAAGATTTCAGTAACTCATTGATATCCACTTCAATGGCTTTGCTGCTCTGCGTAGTAGATTTATCTCCTCGTAGTACACACTTCATTAGTAGATGCTTTTTGACCAAGTTCCTGTGACAAAAAGCCATGTATATTGCTGTCAGTAATTGGGGCAATGTGAGCACAGTGAGCAGAGGACTGGCAGGCCTGGGGAAGAGCTGGGTTGCCTTTCCTGCTCTGCAATTAACCTGATTGATGACTTTGAGCAAATCATTTTGCCTTGGCCACTCCATGGCTTTACAAATCGGCACAATGAGGACAACAAATGAGTTTCTTTGAGGAAGGTTTTGAGTCTTCGTAGTGTAAAAGACATTGTGAAAGAGCTAAACATTTTTATTAGGATTATTTTATTCCCATATTACATATGAAAAAGATTATTCCTCATTTACAGATGCACAGGTTTTAGGTAATTATGGCTTTGCATAAATATGTAGCAGTTTGCTAATTCTTTCTGTGAATATTTCAGTGCTAATCCACCACCCTGATCCTGTGCTGTGGTGTGGATCCTATTTTTTGCTCTGGAAGAAACCAACTTTTTAACTCTTCTGTTTTAATGCTCATATGTGATGTGGATAATTTATTTGTCCATCACTGAAACATCCTCAGCTTACACTAATCCAGGCTCCAGGTGCTGTTGGATTGAGCTCAAGGCTGCTCAGGAAATAATGAGTATTTATAATAATAATGAATAACAGGGTATTTTAAATTCCTTAAATGAACGGACTTGCTGGTAGTGCTGTCCTTGACATGGAACAGAAGTGTCCAAGGCTGAACACAGTGAGGCACAGGGCTGGTTCCTCAGGTGTTGAAGTACTGTTGACTGTTGGGGGTGCTCTCAGTGTTTGCCACTGCTCATGGTGAGGGTTGGCACTGCCACGTGTCACTGCAATGCCATCTCTGCAGCAGGTGGAGATGTAAGCAGCACCTCACCAAAATAATGGTTTTCATCAGGAAATGGTTTAGCCATCAGGTGGTCACAAACTGCACCTATTTCAGAGTCGTGCATAAATCAAGCATAGACAAAGGTAGTGCTGATTGTGCTCACAAAAAGAAGACACCCAACCAAAAATTAATCCCATCAAAACAAGGTAGGAACGCCAGGAGGAGCTGATTGAGCTATACCTTGCTTTTTTGGCAGCCAAACCCCCTCCAGTCCCTCTTTCTCTGCCCTTTGCTGCTGCTGCTGCCTTTGTTGTGTGAAAATGACTGCCTTTCCTTTTGTCTGGCAGGGAGCTGAGCGACGGGAGCACGTACAGATACCAGGTGGTCGTTGTGTCCGGGATGGAGGAGAGCGAGCCGTCCCCTGCCCTCGTTTATATCTCTGGGAGTGGATACTGTGGAGATGGGATTATCCAAATGTAAGTCTGGAGCGAGCAAACAGATAAATCTGGGCACATCTCCTCAGCCAGAGTCTGAGGCTAGGAAGGAATTGATGACCTCTGGTGTCTCCTTAGGTTAGGCTGGCTCTCATCTGTAGATAATGACTCACATGCTTGATGATTACCGGGATGATGACATTTAATTGTACCGTGGGCCCTTCTCTCCTGGCACCAGGAGATACAGACAGAGATACAGATAATGGAGTCCAGACAGCAGGATCGATAGGCAAGGACGCTCTGTGCTGTTTATGCTGTTTCCCCGTGTATCTGTATCTTTATACATGGATGTGACATTTCCTGCACAGACCTGGAGCTGGAAAAACTCACACAGCCTTCCATGCTGCCCCATGTGTGTGGCAGCTGGGTAAAACCCTGCCACGTGCTGGGGCCAAGGTCCTGGTGCAACCCCTTGTTTGACTGACCACCAGAGCTGGGATGCATTTGGAAGTGATAGATTTGGCCTTGGAGGGAGAGTGCTGGGAATTGCATGTTCTCAATCAGCTCCCCTCTCTCACCAGTCCCCAGGCCACTGAAAATGTAAAACAATCCTTCTCAACTATGTTAGAGTTTTTTCCTTTACTATGTTGGCCCTTAAGGCTGATGCTTCAAAGCTTCCTGGCATTAGGTAATTTAATTATTTAAACTATGGAAGTAACAACAAGCAAGTGCTTAATCCAGCCAGTATTATTTGCTTGAAATAATGCTGATCAGCAATCACACAGCACAACACTGTCAGATGATATACCTGGCAGCAAATATTTGCAGGAAGAGGCCCAACAGGCAAGGAAAACAAAGAAAACAATCAAACAACATATGAATCCAGGGCAGTCCTGGAAAGAGAGGTGGAGAAAGACAGATTAATTTTGCTTTACATAACTTTTCTGCTACTGTTATGTTTGCACATTCCTCAAACTTCACTTGTGGCTTTGCAGCAAGTGTCAAACAATAGCTGAGCTGCCTCAGGAGCGAGCAAGAACCAGACTGTGTCACAGCTTGGTTGGTTGTGGCCCCACTTGCAGCTGTGGCAGCCCCTTTCTCATCTGGCTCCCACTCTTGTCCCCACACGCTGTCGCAGCCGTGCGGGTTGGCACTAGGCAGGGCTCCGTCCCCAGCACCCCTTGCTCCCTGCTCGCTGCTCTCCTCCGAGTTCTGCCACCTGGAATAGCCACACTCCAGGCTTTATGCCTTGTCATTCCCATGCTGGGGTCACAGTCTGGCCCTTCCAGATTTAATACAAAGAGTTTCAGAGATTCCTGATCTCTTTTTCCCCACCTGCTGAGCTACAGCCACACCAGCTATGAAGGAAGTTGCTCATATCCTCATCAGAGGACAGCAAGTGGTATCCACATGTGCAGCAGTGAACCGGCCAGGCGAGCCTGTGAACCAGGAATGATGAAAAGGAGGAAGCCAGGAGGCTCCCTTAAGGGAGAGGTGTTTTAGGGGTGGGCACACAAAGCTGCTGTATCAGATATTGGGGCTTTGGGGTTCTTTAGAGGGGTTGCACAAACCATCGAGTTGATGCTACTTTGCCAGCTGACTGCTTTTTGCCTGCAGAGAACTGGGGGAAGAATGTGATGACATGAACAAGATAAACGGCGATGGCTGTTCCCTGTTCTGCCTGCAGGAGTTGTCCTTTAATTGCATCGGTAAGTCTGGCTCAGAGCCCTCAGACCCACGGTGGGCAGAAACCCAGTGCAGAGTGCAAGGGAAAAACCAGCAGTGCTCTCAGCATTTCCAGCTGAAGAGTTGTCATGGGAGAGAGAAAAAAGGTGGAATTTGTAGGTTTGAAAGGTGAACATATCTTCCCAGCTTCTGGTCATTTTGATGGGAAATTGGTTCTGCTGGCTTTGAAACAGCCCAGGACTCAGGGCTAAGTCAGCCATTGTGGGACTGATCCAAAGCCCATTGAAGTCAGTGGGTGGTTTTCCACTGGCTTCAATAGGCTTTAGATCTGACTACGTGAGAAGACATGAACTGATTTTTTCTGGTAAACAGGAGGAGGAGTGAAAGGGGAAGGGACTGAGACCAGAAGCAAGTCCAGCTGAGGTCACACCTCCTTTGAGTTGCAAATCAATATCTGAGGATCAAAGGTCTGGCTAATCCCCTTTTTCAGAGGTGAAAACTACTTAATCAGATTTCATTTGCAAGCCTGGTTTGCTCTGATTAGCAAAACCTGTAAGCACAATGGCCGGAAGATGCTCGAGCTATCGAGGCTGCAGTTTCGAGCTTTACATATTTATTAAACTCTCTAGGAATGCTGGGGACAGAGAAGGGAAATGGAGACCAATTTACACTGCACCTTCTGTGGAGCAGCCCCACGTTGTGGGGTTGCTTTTTCCACCCAGGGGTTTGTGAGTTCTGGGAAAGAACAAAACATGCAAAGCTTCAGGAACCAAAGTTAATGTTTATAAAGGGTCCTCTTTTTCTCCAGACATTTTATGAGATTCCTTATGTGGACTGCCCAAGCAAACACCCTGCCCCATGTAGTGATCCCATGCCTTCAGCTCAGGGCGTCAGTCCTCAGCAGATACTGTAATGTTTGCAAGTCTGAAATTTGCTCTTTTTGGCAATTTGACCATTATCTCTTGTGCCTGGAGCAGCGTAGAATGGACCTCACAGGCACCATGTTTCCCTTGGGTGGTAAACTGGGGACTGCTTGGCTCATCACAACAGCTACATTTTAACTTCAGCTTCCCACACTGTGAGTGAGACTTGAGGCCTGATTTGGTGATGTACTTATTTACATATGTAAATAGTTCTATTGAAATCAGGGATATTTATGGCCGAGACTAATTGCGACAATTGGTGGTCTTGAAGTTACATTTGTGTTTCAAGTAACTTGCTGCCTTAGAGCCCCAAGCACTGCAAGATTTTAGTCATAATATTTTGAAAGTGGGATAAACACTTACGCAAATGTTTTGGGTTCTGCAGACATCAGGCGTGGTGTGAGGCCGGTTCCAGCAAAGCTTTGGGATGGTGCTGGATGGTTGTGTCTGTATCACCCTGCTCCACAGCAGGGCTGAATTCCTTGGTCCAGGTCTGTGCTTTGACCACATCCCAGCATTTCATTAGGACATGACCCAGGTCCTCCCCTGTGCCCATCAGTTTTCCAGGAAACCAGGTGATGTGGGCTGGAGCTGCAATGCTCCAAATAAGTCCATGGACAGGAGTGAGAGTGGGGTGTCCCAAGCCTTGGACCACACAGTGGTGTTCTAGGGGTATGCAACACTCTGCTTTATGCCTTTTTATATAAAATCATGGGATTGGTTATGTTGGGAAAACCCTTAAGGTCAAGTCCGGTTGTGTCATCCACCCAACCATCATCCAACCATTCACCCCCCATCCAGCTCCAGGAGCAGCAACAGAGCTTCCTGAGAGTGTGGGACAAAACTGTCTGACAGCAGTCTGACTAGAAAATGAAGCAACTAAAACATACAGATTTTTCTACTCCATGACAGAGGAAGTGGGTTTTCAGATTTGCTTGTGTTGGAAAGGAGAGGGGAATTCCAGGGGCAAAAATAGTTGTTTGTTTGTCACGGGCTTTGGAAGGTTGTGGTTTGCACAGATCCTGGATTACAAAACAAATGATATCAAATTCCTTGTGAAATATTGAATATAGGGACTCAGATGAATCAAATTAGCTGAATCAAAGGGAAGGTGCAGGAACAGAGACCTTAAAAATCTTTGGTTGTGTGACTTTACAGTTGTGCTGGGGTGACTGCTGTGGTGGTGATGGGCTCAGTGTTTCTGCAGGGTCTGTGAGGGCAGCCCCAGTGCTGTTTTCAGGCAAACACTGCCTTCAGGTCTCTAAGACAGGTTCAGAGGAGCTAATACCTGTGAAATACATACTTTTGGCTCTTGTGCTAGCTGGACCACCATGAATTATGACCCCAAGAGCTAAGGAGACACTACCAGTTTGTCTTTCAGACAAATGAACACTGCTGATTTATATTCTGCTTGGTATATCAAGCATTAAAATCTCACCAGAAAATATAAAGATGTTGGGGAAGTGAGTGGCTGTGCATATCACATAATAAATAATAGTAAAAAAAGAGCAGAAATTCAGCATTCTCCACAATCTAACAATATCACACCTACTCCTCTTCCTTAAGCTGAACAAAAGTCTTCTTTGATATTGGTGGGGTGTTTTCCTGGAAAATACAGAATTCTTGGGTGCCCATTTCAGGAGCACAGAAAAATAAGTGTAATTTATTTCCATGTTTACAAGGCTGACACATGTTATAATCCTGTAGAACAACAAGCAGTTATTTCAGAGAGTGTTATTTTTTCAGTGATGTTCTTGTTGTATTATGTAGCTCTTCAGAGCCCCGGGAATCACTCCCCTTCACCAAAGAATTCAGTGAGCCTCAAACACATGTTCAGAGGCTTTGTTGGATCGGGGGCCTCAGGGTTTGATCTTGCAAATGCTTTCTTCCAGGCATGTTTCTGAACTACCACAAGGCATTCTTTAGACTTCAGCAAATCTAACCACAACAGTGAATGCAATGCTTGTCACAAATTGTCTGCAGGATTGGGTCCCACGTGGCTGGAAAGAACTGCTAAACATTTTGTTTGCTAAAGACGGGGCTGAAGGGGCGTCGTGGGCGGGTTCCAGAGGAGGAGGTTTGATAGCAGAGCCCAAGTGGGCTCCTGCCTCCTAAAGCAGAGACCACGCAAGTCACCTCGCTTGGTAGGAGAAAAATACAACAGAGCCCGCAAGCACCACCAGGCTTTAGATTCAGAGCCATGAATCACAGAATAATTTAGGTTCAGAGGAGTCTCTGGAGGTCTCTGGTCCAAGGAGGGCCAACTTCAAAGTTAGAGCCAGCTTCAAAGTTGGAGCATGTTGCTCAGGGTCATGTTCAGCTGCATTCTGGATATTTCCAGGGATGGAGGCAGCCTGTTTGCAGGTGTCCCTTTGCCTCTCTCACTCCCTTTGGCTTTTAGGATCATGGGGTTTATGGGCTTTTTTAATTGGTCCAACTTTCCTTTGACTAAATGGCACAAGGCTCTCAAGACACTTTGCACTAGTGCCTGTAATAAAATTACACTTCTTTTTATTTTTTTTTTCTCTTGCTTTTGTTTTTCCTCCTTCTTTCCTCTCTAATCAGATAACAGTGGATCAATCTGCTCTGCCAGGGAGGAGGGGCGCGGGGGAAGGAAGGAGGGAGGCAGGGAAGAAAACTGTGTGGTCTCACTGTCAGGCTGTCCTGGCCTTCTCCAAGCACAAAGCCGAGCAACAGAAAACAGAAAAGATTAATAGCATTTTCTTCCTGCAACATGCTGAAGAGCGACAGTGAGATTAATTAATTAATTAATGGAAGCATCTGGCAGTGCTCCGTTTTTTAAGTTCTGCAGCACTCTTGCCCTTCCCCATTGTCAAATTTATCATCTCTACCTTTTCTCCCCCCACCCACAGCCGCTTCCTGTAGCAGATTTTGCATATTTTTATCTTTTCCACACAGAATTTGGTCCCACGGGGAAAGTTTCACTTTGCCTTTTGATGGGAAGGAGACAGGTGATTCCAAGCCGTGTCGGTGTGACTGATGCACCCCTCTCCTACCCCTGGGCTGCTTTCCTTTCACCTTGCCCTGATCACTCCAGGGATAACAGATTTTTGCGGTTACCGCGGATCTCAGCCAAGTTCAACCCGACGTGTCCTGTGTAAAACAGACCCCATTTGTAAGAGTTATGATTCACAGTGGTGGGAACCCAGGGCTTAGCACTTGATCCATTCCCAGTGGAGTGCTGAGAAATGGGTGTCTGAGGCGCAGCTGAGCACCTTGTCCTTGGCGTGCACTCTCCCACACGCCAGCGCCGCACACCCAGATAGATGTGGGACATTGAAAAAGAGCCCGGCTTTCATTTGCATTCCTTTTGTGGAGTGGGATGTGCATTATGCATTGATTTAGCTCACCAGTGCTGAAGAAAGAGAAGGATATAATAAAAAAGATGCAGAGATCAATAAAAAAGGGAGGGAGGGGAAGAGAAAGTAATATGAAAAGAGATGAGTAAAGGCTGATAGACACATTGAAACACAGCTGAGAAGTAGCTCCAGAACTTCTATCTCCCCTTAAGTTTGCCAGGTAATTTATAGGGGTTTCAGTCACATCTTATTGGTGCTATTATTGCTATACTTTATCTCCTTTGCTTATAAGGGACTCTTGGCTAAAACCTTTTTACAGCAAAACAGGGCAGCGCTTCTACTGACTTCCAGATGGGAGTGGTCACCCTGAAGAATGGGAATGTTTCAGGTTAGACACACATCTCAGTGGTGTGTGGGATCAGGGCCTCAGGGATATAAAATACAAAGAAAAGACACAGAGCAGAGGCAAAGAGAAAATAAATATATCTAGCTCTTGAATTTACCACCAATTTCTGGCATGCTTGAAACATTAGTCACCAGTGGTTGTTCAGGGAGAAGTATGATTTTAATTTGACAATGATCCTTAAACACCTTTTCTTTTGCTCCTGCTTGGTCCCAAATGTTTTTCTGCTACCTTACAAATCTGGATCTGTCTTCCTCCTCCTCAGAGGCCTCTCCCTCCAGCTGTGAGCCTTACCTTTGTGGGAGCTCTATCCTTTACCTCTCCCATTATCCATAAATTAAGCATAGCACTTTCCCCTAATCTTATTGTTTGGTGGG